AGAGTCCAGCAGAGAGAAATGCACCAACAGCAAGTTACAGGAAAGAAGTCAAAAGATCTGAGCTTCTCTAAAAGTCCAGGTTTGCAAAGCTGGGGGTTCCTCCGGTCCCTGTCACATGTTGCTGTATCAGCAGGGTGTAAATCCAATTGCTTCCTCACACAGCCCTTTTACAGCCAGTGCTCAGCTACTGCAGTGTCACCTAAGGTAGTTCTGCTCCTCCTGTGAGAGTAACTCCTGCAGGGGTTACTGGGGGGACAGGAAAATTGTAGAATGCTTTCATTAGTAACACTGAAGCAGGTAAAATCCAATTCCCAGGCTCCCGAACTTCCAGGCTCCCACGAACTTTACAGTAAAGCAGATCCCCAGGGAAGCAGCCAAAGTTATGGGTTTGAAAGGGTTCTTAGAATCAGATCAATACCTGTCTGCCTGCAACCAAATGCAGATTCACTTACCTGAGTACAACAGCAGCCAATGTCACTTTACGCATCTCTGCCAACTGAATATAGATCTCTCTTAGATTCCTGAAGGTCTGTTTTTCTTGCCAGACAATTCCCTTTCATTCTGCAACCACTTCTTAAAGCTTTTCTACTTCTTCATTACCAAAATAACTTCCTCATTGGAACTTACAGAAATAAAAACCCTGAAAGTCATTGCCTTTTTATCAAAACACAGGAGACTGTTAAAATAATTGCAAAAGTCCAAAGTTTTTTGACAAGATAAGCACCAGCATATAGACCTTGTGGGACTGAGCAATGCAGTTCTTCTCACAACCACTCTAGTTTTACAAGCATTTGGGCAAAGCTGTGTCCAGCACTCCTGGTGTAATGATCCAACAGAACCATGTGCTCTTCCCATAGACACTACAAAACCCATCTCTGGTCTGGCATGTGCTGATGTGCAGAATCCTCAGCACCACCAGAGAATACTGAACTGAACCAAGATATATAAATAAGTGCATTACCTTCAAGGTAAAACGAGTTCCTGGGCATTTAGAGTAGGGCAAAGCAATAAAAATCAAAGTAACCAAAAACCAGGGATGGACTTGCAGCCTTTGTTCAAGGCTGCAGGTCCAGCCACCCCTGGGGCTGAAAGGCAGCAGTGTCAGTTTGTGTCTATGTTTGCTCTTAGAGCAAACTGCAGCTTGGCCCTGTGACATGGCCAGACCCACCAGATTCAGATAAATCCAAACAAATTGATTATCTGGGACCTGCAGCAGGAAATCAGCACAAGATTTTGCTCTTGAGCATAAGAGTTTTCCAACCATCTTCTTGCACTGTGGTAGCACAATGCAATGATTGGGAAGGAACTTTCTTAAAAGTCTCTGTGAAGGGCTCTCAAGCTCTAAAGGATTCTGCTGACAGTCCTCTGAGGCTGCTGAATGTCACTTTATACTGCTTCAGAGGTGCAAAGCAGCCTTATCTGGACCAAAAGCATGGCCTTCAGGTCTCCAGAGATAAAAGGCAAGAGCACTAAACCATTCTGTCTTGCCAGCCACAATAAAGAGCCATTTAATTTAGCCAAACTCATTTAAAATAGAGATTGATAAAGAACAGGACCAGATTATTTAATAACAAAAATGAAACTACTCCTCTGGGTTGGATGACACTCCAACATTCTTGCAAGAGAGAGAAATGGTAAAATGTTTAATAGAATTTACAGCATTTCATTCAGATAAAAGAGGATGCTCAATTTATGGGTGATGTTTGGCTCAGAGCAGCAATAAAAGTCAGGTCAATAAGTGATTCTTTTTCCTGACTTGGAAAAATATTCTGACTAAACAAAGAATCACCATAAACCACAAACAGGCAGAGAAAGAAGTCCCCTGATATCAAGGCCCCCACTCAAGGCTTTCTTTTCACTAGCTGGAAAATTTCAAAGCAAGGCAAATCACTTATGTGGTGTCTGTAAATAAAATATTGTCTAGGAAAATAAGAACACTCAGTTGGAAATAAGTCACAAAGTCATTCCCTAGGGGGAAAAAAAAAATAAAAGTTAGTCTTTTTAATTAAACATACTTAACAAGGTCATCTGTGAACACACAAGTTTTATTTGATTAAATGAAGTGCTCCAAACTTAAGAAAATAACAGCAAAAAAAAGTACAGACATTTTAGAGCAGTGTTGAGAGCTTGTTGCAGAGTAGCCATGGAAATTTCTCTGTCTAATGGGGGAAATGGAGGTGCAGAGGATTTTAATAACCCAGCACTAGAGCATGCTCATCTTCTCTGCTTCTCAAACACATTCTAATAAGGCACTGAGAAAGCCTGAGCAAACTGCAATGAATACTTCAGGAAATATGGAAAAAAACTGCTGCAAACTGAAACAGCAGCAAAGTGAGCCCAAAGTCCTTGAGATGCTGTGGAATGCTTTGCTCTTTATCCTGCTAGCAGCAGAATTTTATTTAGGTCCCACACTCTAGGGCTGAACATACCCAGAGTGAGAAATGCTCCTCTGGCTTGGAGAGGTCTAATGATCCAAACTAGAGCTAGAAGGGAAAGAGCTGTATGAAAGATGGGATTTGCCCTATTTTACAACTAAAAACCATGGCACAGACAGATTAAATGAGCTGCCCAGGGTCACATATACTCTGTGATATAGTCAGAAATAAAATCCAAGTCTCCTCAGTTTCATGTCAGTGCTTTTACCTTAGACTACCATTTCACTGTTAAAAAACACTAACAAATCAAGCCCTGCCCTATCCCAGCAGTGAGCTAAACCATCCAGTTCATGTGACAGGCAAACTGAGAAAAAGGAGAATTATAGGCAATGAAATCTGTCAGAAGCTCATTTGTTTTGAAAGGCAGGTCACTAATTTAGGTGCTTAACTCAGGAACCCACTCAGAAACCCTTAATCCCAGAGCTCACTCTCAGCTGAATATTGCAGAGTTTTGCACTGCTGCTGTGCAACCCCACTGTATATCTTTTAATTACACCATCACTCTCTGCAGACATTCCCCTGGTTCCTAGGCTGGAACTACTTGAAACTCATTCAGTAAACACCCACTGCCAAGCAGTGAACCTATTCCATTTGAGCTGCAAGTAGGACAGCCAAATAAGAACATGACTCAAAGCTCCTCAGACTAAAGAGAAAGAGAAGAGGAGATGGAGGAAAACCACAAATGGAAACTTTCTGGTTCAACCGTACCAAACACCAACTTATTTATGAAACTGATTGTTTGCAAAGATTTCATGGCAAAGGCTGGCAGGCAGCTACCATGGATTAGAGTCAGGCTGTAAATGCAGCTATAATGAAGATGGGGAATGGGCCAAACAAGTATTTAGTTATTGCTTCTCCTTCTGCCTGGAACACATATTTATTTCTCCTGAAATGCACATGTGTAGAGGCACAAATCCAAACTCTTGTGTTCTTCCTCCTTGAGGTCATAACCACACCAGGCATCACATCCTTGAAATTACTGCATTTTTCAAAAACATTCTTACAGACAAAAAAATTACAGTTAAGTTTCTGGGCTTGGATTTTTTTTAAGCACCACGGAGGGAACAGTGAGAATAACAAGACTGAACACAGTGATGTGGCCAGACTATTGCCTGGCAGTAACCTCAGTATGAGAGAAGCATCCATGGCTCTCTGGAAACCACCCTAAGGTTTGTTTGCATCAGGCTTGTAATTTTGTACACATGCCCAAGCCCTGCACTTCTCAAGAAATTGCCACTGATAATTGCTGATTTATGCTCATAGACTTGGAGGAGCAGGTTCAGCAGGCAAAGAAGATTCACTGTATGCCTCCTGCTTAGGGTATTATTATCTTTAAGACATCAAAATAAAAGGAGGACATGATGGGATTACAATCAGCCACCATGCATATCATTCTCTATCTCTTTTGCTTCACTCTGTTTTCTAAGACTTTGCAGTGTATGAACAGTCCCTCAAGGTCATTAGGGTAAGCTGTGGTATAAATTGGATGCTTAAAGTGTTACACTTCAATTCAACTTGAATTGCAGTTTGGCAGGTGGAATATGGAGATTCCTAAAGAATATACACAGCAGAACTGGGGCTTTAAATACCAACTATCATCCACAGTAAAAAAAAAATGTAACAAGTTACAACTGAGAGATAAGGTGTTTTATGAATAGTCTGAATTCACACAGGTTTTTCTTAGGATGATGATTTGGGACTAAGAGAGATTTTAGTAATGCCATTAAATGCAATCCCTAAAGCAATGCATCAGAGTAGAGTAACAATCTGTACACAGATACCACCTCTCTGTGTTCTAACACGACTGAAGTCAAAAAAGAAAATCGAATTTGGTTTAGTCAGCATCCTGGACATGACACAGTAAAGCTGTGGCTTGCAGGTATGTTTTCTGAAGAGAAACAGCAGAAAAACTTCAAATATACTGACTCCATTTACTCTTAATCCCCTTGCATTCACAAAATGAGTCTAAGTCTGCCAGAACCAGGAAGATGCTCCATGTAGCTTAAATCTGGACCTGAAGCAAGAAGGATGTTCCTACTCATTACAGCCACCACCTCTGAAAACTTTCCAATTCACTGATTATATTTGTAGGCTCTGGGAACAAGAAAGGGACAAACAACAATAGGCAGCTTGGCTGGAGAAAAATTACCCGTGATAAAAGACCACAGGTGATCACTCTAATGGTCCCCTTGGCTACCACTTCTCTCCCATTGTTCAAAACCACAGGAAGATTTTTTAAGGAGGAAAGGAAGCTGTTATACCAAGTCCTTCAAAGGTCAACATGAGACAGTGGAAGGTGTTTGGTGAAATAATCAGAAAGAAAGGGAAATAAAAATATCAAGGTAGGGAAAAGTGAGAGCCATTTATTTTCACTTGAGCATTCACTTTTCTTCTTAATACCACTAGAATTTAGCAATGTAAAATCATTTACTTCTTAAAAGCTGTCCACAGCTTGAGTGGCACATTAAATACAACAGTGTTTTCTTGCATGGTCAGTGACATCACAGCCACCCAGAGCTGAGGTGTCAGAGAGCTCAGGGGCTGCTTTTTTCCACTTACAGGCACAGGCACTGCACACACTGGATCCAAAAGGGTCAGGTAAGAGACACTTCCCAAAAGCTGAAAAGAAAGAACCACTTCTACACACTTGACACCTAAATAACCTCGGGGTCAAGCAATCCATCTCATCTGGATTCAAGGACACTGGTTTAGAATGAAGCTTTCTACAGTCCTCATGTTCTATTTATAAAGAAAGGAGCTTGTGAAGTTAGATTTGTCTAAGATATGGGTTAAGAGTTGAATAAAAAATCAAAACTATTCATTTTTTTACTTTCCTTTTGTTGTGCATGGCTATCAGAGCATCTCCAATCCTAAAAATATGATTCATGTCAGTGTATGTCACTATAGATTCAGAAATAATTATTTAAGCATAAAAGTTCAACACCACAGCCTGAATCACAAATTCAAAGTGAGCTTAAATTGGTATTTCAAGTAAAACTATTTCATTTGAATAATCATTCTGATATTGTCCTAATAAGAAGCAGTAGAACTCATCTGACACGTTTTTTTCATTTTCAGACTGCAGGAAGCATTGATAGTTCTGCTTTTTATTTCAGATTGGAATTTTGTTCTGAAACAGAGGTTCCAGTAAAAAAGCAGCTCTTACTCCTGAATAGGCTGGTTTCATTTTGACTTGGGTAAGGGAAATGATACAATTACTGTGCTTGTTCTCCTTTTCCAAAGAACATTCCTGACATCAGGGGTACAGCATTTCCCAGCCACCCTCAGGACTTCACCCTGACACAGGAGAACCCTGGGCTGACTCCACTAGCACAGCCCTGTGAAAAAGTACTCATTAAACCTCACAAGACAAATATGGGCAGTGGAATTTTGCAGAGTTCTCACACATCCTCGGGCATGGAACAGACCAGAAATACCAATAATGTAAGAAGAGACACTGAGAATAAGGCTTCACTTGTATGTAAATATGCCAATCTTGCCTTTAAGATGCCCAGTGTAAATACAGAACTCAAATCTGTGCAGGTCATTAGTGTTTTTCTGGGAAGTTGACTCACTCTGGTGTCAACATTTCCAGAAAAGACCCTGACTCTACCTCAATAAATTACCACTGTGTGTGAAGACATACATCCCATCAGTTCCACAAAAATGTAATTTCATTAAAGAACATAATGAAAGACCAATTTAAATGATGAACTATTTCCTATTAGTTATAACCCATTGGAAACATGTACCAGGTTGGGTTTTTTCTGGAGATTATTTATTTAGTTAATTATTTAATGGCTGAATTTTCACTGCCTTCCATTATGTGGTATATTCTTTTGTGATAAGCCTGCAGTAAGTTATTTACAGTCAGAAAAGAACTCTCAGCCCTAAAATTTTAGAAAGTTATCTTGATCCTTTAATCCAGCTGTCTTCTCCATGTTGTGAAGTTCTCCTTAGCAGATGGACTCTGATAAAAATCTCACAGATTTTATTTTTCCTTTCCTGCAGGGGAAAAGGTCACCCAAGCAAGACCCTCCACTTCATCCTCAAGACACACAGAGGAGAAAAGCAGGTTCTGTTATCCAAGGGAATGCAATGTCAAATCCCAGAGTGGGAGCTTTCCTCACAAAACACGTGACCAATCACTGTTCTTACCCTTCCACTGTCACACAAAACAAACAATGAGGTTTTGAGAAATGCTATCTATTTCACATGTAAAATAAATCACTGTTCAGAACATAGAGCAACCTGAGACATGAGGAGTGAGTTTCTAAAGAGAAACCAGGAAATCAGCCTCCAGAAGGAAACATGCTTGTAAGACTGAAAACCAACCTTGGGCATCATCTGTGCCCGTACTACCTCGAATATAAGAACTGTGCCTGTGCAGAGAGCTGCCTACAAGTGCTGCAGTTTAATCATATGATAAAACCACAGATCAAAACATGCCTGGTTAAGTAAAGTGGGGCAAAATAGCCAATATCCTTCACCCATTTTCCTTGGTCAGTGCCAGATACAAACCAGCAGCGAGAGCTGTAACATCCACATGCCACTTCCTTCCTCCCAGGTTTCACTGTCATCTCCCCTGACCACACAAAAAGCCACCACATTATGTACATACATCATTTCAGACCTATCTTTGGAAATAAACTAGAACTCAGTTGATCAGTTTGTTCCTCACAAACACCATAATTAGGCTAAGACATATTTCCTGGCTCTGACAGATGAAGTGCATGGCATGTCTGAAAAGAAGAGCTACGAAACAATCATGGTTTGCAAAAAAGTACCTCAGAGGAAAATGACATTGACGGCTGCCAAATAAAAATGATACAGGGCTGATTTGTCTCTCAGCTGGAAACATTTTGGGAGGAGAGGATTTTTAAATGGAATCTCCATTTTCGGTGAACAGAAAGGGAGAATTGGAATATAACACTAGTTCATGAGGACAACACACCAAAAGCCACTAGTGCAAAGCTGTCATACACAAAAAGAAACAAACAAACAAAACCAAGAGAAAGAAACAATCCCTTCCCCTAGATGATGTACTAAAAGTGTGGTAAGTTTGAAGCTCCCTTATAGGATTTACAAAATAAAATCCTTTCAAGGTGATTTGCCTACTGCATGCCATACTTCCATAAAGGAATATTCTCTTTGTTCATATGGGTTTGGAATGCAGACAGAATTTCGTCCATGCCTTGAGATCGTGAAAACAAAAAGGTCAGTGTATTAGTTTTGTGGAATAATTAATAGATACTTCCAAAATATGTTTGTCATGTTGGAAATATGCTGTCCAGCTGTCCCTACCTTTCAAGGCAGGGACATGTCTCTGGGTAAATGCTGATTACTCCACAGGAAAATGTACATACTAATGTGTGTTGAGACAAGGGCTTAAATGGATTATGGACTTCAGGACAACAGTCTCGTATTGACTTCTCTGTAACACAAATCCCTGCTCCTCTCCTGACAGATTTATCCTCTGGTGTTCACAGCACTGGTCCTGCTTTCTCTTGACTGGAGCTAGTAAGTCAATACACTGATCTGTTTGAAAAAATTAAGTAGCATTAGCAGGAATAATTTAGAAAGGAGAAATTCTTCATGACAGCGCTCCAGTAACGATGCGATGTGAATGACAAAGGGCAAAACCTCCCAAAGAAAAGCTGTGCAGGCACAAGATGTCACTCTGCAGAACACCCACTCACCTTTTTATTTAAGAAGCTCAGAGAAGTTATTGGTTATTGATATATCAATACCATTTCTATTATATTCAGAAATAAAATTTAAAAAATAATCAGGTCTAAAACACCAATCCTCCAGACTGTGGGCTGCCATTCTCACCCTCTTTCTTCCAAAGACATTTACCCTCAGCTAAACATTAAATTATTGGTATTTCAGTATAAAGCCAAGCCACAACTCATAATGCTACAAGCAGTGAGCTGAAAGCCTTTTCTCTGTTCTTGTAAGATTAGAAAATTTTGTTGCATGTCATTTCAAACCATTTCCCAGAAAAAGGGTCGTGATGTTGTCCATCAGATCCATTCTCTTCCACAATTTTTTCCTTTCATACAACTGCTAAATCTCCTAGTGTGCTTTTTGGCAGTACTTTTTCTTCTGTTTTCTTTTCTAACACACATGCCATTTGTCATCTGTAGGTTACACTTTGTTGAGAGGGTAGACTTATACAAGACATCAGAGCATTGGCCTTAGCTCCCTCGAAAACCTCAGCAAATGAACTAAGCCCCAGGGTCTTTCAAGGAGACATGGTTTTAAACAATTTAAATCTATATTAACAGAAGTATGTAAGTATGTGCTAAAATTATTAAAAGCACCTGGCCTCCTATTTGAAGTTCAGTGGCCACTTGGCCATTTCTTGCTATTCAAGCCCTGTACATCCTTGAGGCAATTCCCTCCAGAAGTGGGAATCACCCTGGTGCCCCTCACAACTATGCTAGAGCAAGGTGAAGTGTCTAACCAGGAAAACTTTTCTTCAAAGAAAATTGCCCCTACTCATCTGGAGAAGTGATTTCTGGTGTATGCAGTCCCAGTGCAGGTACATGGGCAAGGTGCTCACCGAGGGAAATACTCCCAGCCTCGTGCCAGGTGCTGGCTGCAGCCACCAGCACATGCAGAGTGTGACACCAGCTGTGGGGACCATCCCCTGCAATGAAATGGCACAGCTCTGTAGTAAAAATGTGGCAAACCCTGGCACAGGGAAGAAATGATGATGTCTGGCTCCAGATCAGAAGGCTGAAGGATAGTTTTGTTAAAAATATACTATATTACATTAATATACTATTTAAAGAGATACTATACTACTCTACATAATTACTTCTTACTTACCTATCTAACTCAAACTCCTGACTCTCTGCTGAGAGTCCAACACAGCTGGATCCATTGGTCACTGACCCCAAACAACCTTCACCAGAATCCAACCCAGCATCACTGCAGGTAAACAATCTCCACACCACATTCCACATGGGCAAAACAAAGGAGCAGAGATAAAGATTGTTTTCTCTTCTTCTCCCTGTGCTTCTCCTGAGAGACAGAACTATGTCTCTCTGTCCAGAGAATGTGAATGTCACACAGCTCCACTTCCAGGGATGATTAATGGCTGGGAGACCACTGCAATTGTGACACACTGACCAGTACTGAATAAGGCTGTAAGAGAAGCATTTCCCATAACAAAAATGGGACAAGGGCACAAGCAGACTCAGCCTGGGAAGGCAGAGAGTCCAGCAATCTGACAGAAAAATGCAGTCATTGCTTCCTTCTCTTGGTAGGAAAATAATATTCTTTTTAAACATGCCTCAGAACTGCTGCTTTAAAATCCTCAAATAACCATAGTTAAAATGTTCCTCTTCAAGGATCTGACATTGAGCAAGGCAAAATTGTTCTTGCAAAGGTTAGGAGAAAAGAAAAAAAAAAAAAAAAAGACATAAAAATAAAAAGTGAGATAAATTGCCAAAAGAGGGAGTTAGCCTCTCAGAGGAGACACAAATCTATCCAAAAAACCCATTTATACTGGAGAGTGGGAAAGGTAAGCACAGCGTGAAACAGCCCCAGAGGAAAACCCTGCCTCACCTTGCAACCTGCACATAGTACAGATAGAAATACAGCCCTGAAAACATTGAGATACTTGGTCTTGCCATTAAGAAAAATTTTACTGACCATTTTTAGACAGTCTACAAACATAAAGAGAGCTCATAATGCTGGTTATCTTCATAATACTCACAAACTTTATTAGGTATAAGCATTTGACTAAAATCAGGAAGACAGAACCCAGCAGAGCCAGGCAGTAACTCAAGAGAGAAGGACAGTAATTGTATGTCAGCAATGCCAGAGTCCCAAGCATAGCCCACCTGACTTACATCAAAGAAATGCACTTGGCAGTGCCAACCAGATTTGAATTTAGGAGCAATGGTTTGCACTTTCAGAGCCTGGAAAATTATACTACATTCTGAATTTTTAGAAATTCCCTCCTGCAATCTGAAGTCACAATAGCCCATGCTTGTTCACACAAGCAAACCCTCGCTTGCACAGCTTGCCCAAAGGAATAAAGGGAGCTTTATGAGAGAAGAAGGCAGGCACAAGACTTAGATCATGCACAGCCCCAGCTGAGACAGCTTTTAATTTCTCAATTGTCACAAGAGTGAAAAGAAACATCCCTTTCATACAGACAAGAAGCAGAAGGTTACAAACTGCTCTGTTATACAGCTACAATCAACACACATCAGAAGTGTGAAGCAGAGTGGCACTGCTCATAACAATTAGCCCAATGGTGATTGCAAATACTGAGATTGCCAGAAACAGCAACAATAGTGAGTCAGAGCTGCCTCTGCTGTGCACTGGCAGCTGCTGCTCCCAGTGCAAATCAGAAGACACAAAGACACTCTCTGAACCTTCAGCTGTGTGTGACAGTCACTCCTTCCTCCTTCATGGTTTTTACCGACCCAGGGCTGTCCAATGCTGGCTTGTCACGCCCATGGCCCACCAGGCTCTGCTCTAACACAGGAAGGATATCCAGGTACATGATGCTACCTGGATCCACCACAGTGCAAGTCTGAACCCCACCAGGGTGGATATAAAAGTGTAAGAACTGTTTGTAAGTGGGATGTGACTGCCATGGGACAAAGGAAACACACCATGAATTAAATCCTGCCACTCCTCCCAGTGCCAGCACTAAACACATGACTCAATGGGGATAAGGATAACCTTCAGGCCTCTTTTAATCCCTCTCCCAGGCTTCTGCCTGCTAGAGGAAAATTCTCCCTTGCTGGGAGATTATACTGGGGGAAGATCCCCTCTGCTCTCTTCCCTTGCCCCCTGAACAACAGCAGGACAGAAAGGAGGGCTGAGACACAAATCAAGAAACTTTGATCTGGTATTTCACTCAATTTTGTATGTTTCTCTTGTTTTACAGTTACATTTCAGTTCTCTAAATTGATGAATAGCCCCATATTAAAGCCTGGGTTTGCAGAAACACTGAGTGACCACAGCTTGGGTCAGTTACTTGAAAACAATAGTTTTGACAGGTTCCTTACTGAAAAGAGGTTTGAAAATCAAGACCTCACACCAAGTCCTGAACTTGAATGTGCGAGTGAACCTGGAGATACTCGACCCTGGCACTTTGCAGAATGCCATAAAAGAGGTTACCTGGAAACAGGTGGTGTTGCCAGGAGTGCTGGTCCATTTGCTATGTTTCATTCCTTCTATCCTTCAGACTCAACATCAAATTTTTCATTTCTTTCCTGTCCTTCCACTTTGCCACATTAGCAGAGCCTGGGGGACTGGCTGAGGCCACCAGCATGTACAGTGTCAGACCAAGGTCAGCATTTCAAAACCAGATGGGCACTTAGGGCAAGCACTGGTTTCAGAGAGGCCAGGATGGATTGCTAGCTGGTACAAGATGTTTTACACCCTTTCTTTAAGCATCCAGACACCAGAGAGTGCTCAGTGCTGGGAATCTGATTCACTGCTGCTGATTTGAGAGAAAGGAACAATGACAACCTG